CCCTTCTGATAAAGGGAAGGAGAAGACCTCTGTTCCATTAACTGAAGATAAGGCACAATCTGGTAGTGGACAGGAGGTGACAGAGAATGAGATGACAGAAGATGAGATGCAAAAAGATCCAAATCATGGCCCGCATGTGGAATATGACAAAGAAGACCCTCCGATGACAGTAGGCAGTATGTATCCCAATATGGCAGAGTTTAAGTTGGCTCTTTCGCAACATGCAATCAAAAATGAGTTTTAGTATAATACATAGAGAAGTAGACCAAAACGGCTGAGGGCTTATTGTTCAAGGAAAGAAGCCGATAATTGTCCATGGAGGATACATGCTTCTACAACGGCTAATCGAATAACAATAATGGTAATTATCTACTGTTCAAACCTGCACATCTTGCTTTTATTGCAAACTTGATATGTATATTTAATTTACTATATTTACCTTTTTGTGTAGGTGAAAAAGAACCCTAGTGCTCATTGCTACTCTAGTAATAGAAGAAAGAAGAGAGTGAGGAATGCCACCAGACACTGGATTTGTGAAAAGGTGAAGGACTGGATCATACAGGATGCAACTATGGGAGCAAGTGCATTGCAAGAAAAGCTCAAAGAACACTACAAGATTACCATCCACTACAAGAGAGTATTTGATGGTAAGAACCTTGCATTGAAGATTTATATGGTGATTGGGACTCCAGTTTCGATAATCTGTACAGATTTAAGGCACAAGTTGAGAGCTGCTGCCCTGGTAGTTTAGTAATTATTGATCATCACACTATTACAGATGAAATCAAATTTAGAAGATTTTTTTTTCGCCTTGAAACCTTGCATAGAAGGGTCCCTTAGTGGTTGCAGATCATATTTGGCAATAGATAACACATTTCTAACAGACAAATTCAAAGGTCAATTGGCTAGTGCATCTGCTGTAGATGGACATAATTGGTTGTATCCAATTGCTTTAGAAGTCTTTGATTCTGAAACAAATGATAACTGGATATGGTTCATGAGTCAGCTTAGAAAGGCGATTGGATCATCGAGGGGTTTAGCCATATGCACTGATACTGGACAGGCTGTGATGGTAGGGGTAGCAGAAGTGTTTCCACAAGCTGAACATAGAGAATGCATGTTTCACTTGGTGTTAAACTTCAAGAAGAAATTCCATGGGAAGGTATTTGATGACCATCTTTGACCTGCAACATACTCGTGGAACTCCTATTTATTTAAGAAACATTGGGCAGCAATGGAGGTGGTTAGGCCAGCCACAACATATTATCTAAGGCAATGCCACAAAAAGTTGTGGACTAGGAGTCAGTTCTTGACCATATGCAAAGTTGATTATGTTACAAATAATTTGACAGAGAGCTTCAACAATTGGATCAAGCCTCACAAATCAATGAACTTAGATGACTTGATGGACAAGATTAGGCAAATGGTTGTGACGAAGTGGCATCAAAGGAGAAAGACTGGACATAAACTAGATGAATTGATTCTGCCACACATAATCAGGAGCTTAATGAAAAGAGTAGAGAACTAAACTTGGAAGTGCTTGAATGTGGACCACATGTTGCTGAAATAACTGCACTAGTAGGTAGTGGCTTCAGATTTGTGGTTAACTTGGAAGATAGAACTTGTTCTTGTCGAGAGTGGCAAGTTTTTGGTCTTCCATGCAAACATGATCTTGCATTCATCACAGCTTTTGCTAATGGTAAAATAGAAATGCATGTGGACTCTTACTACTCCATTGAAAAATTTAGGGCAGCCTATGCCCAACTAATACCTGCTATGATTGATATGACACAATGGCCTAAATCTTCCCATGGGTTTTTATGCATCCCCCACTATTGACACCCATAGCTGGTAGGCCTAAAACTGAGAGGCATAAAGGTGGACTGAGAAGAAAAAAGAAAGGGCCAGCACTAGTGTCCTATTTGCCTAGACTATGGGCATCATTGGCACAATTGCAAGAAAGGCAACCCGGCTGATATTGAAGCTACGAAGGCTGTGAGGTAAGAAATGTGTTCATATTTTGCTACATCAAATAATTTGCTACAACCCCTTTACTAATCTTTTATTGCTCAATGTAAAGGACCATGAAAGAAGAAGGCAAAGACTACAAAATCTGCTCAAAGTTATATTGGCCCCGTTCGCGTGCCCTTAAACTCGGCTTGATCTGCTTCTTTTTTTCATCCGGAACAGTGTTTTCCTCTCACAAATTCCTCCAGATTCATCCAAAATCATCTAGATTCCTCCAAGCAAACGGGGCCATTATGCCTTTAGAGGATGAAGTACCAGCGCTATCTATGTCTTTTCCACCTAGGTAATGTGCTCATTTGTGCAAAATCTATGAACTTGTGCAAAATCTGATTACTTTTGCTGAGTTGTGTGTATAAAATCTGCTCACTTGTAAATTTCTAAGTACAAAATTTGCTTACTTGTGCTCACTTGTGCTGATTTCTAATTATAAAATCTGCTCACTTGTGCTGATTTCTGTGTACAAAATCTGCTCACCTGTGCTGATTTGTAATTATATTGTTTGATAACATAGCCAAAGCTTGGGAACTACAACTAAGAAGTCTCCAATTAAGAAGATAACAAGTAAGAAGAAGAGAAAAAAGCATGACTCTACATCTGGACCTTCAAAGAGTTCAAACTGGTATTAGGATCTCTTTTGTATTTTATTTAATGAAACATGGTTTCCAATCTAATTAGAGAACCTAATTATCAATCTTCTCTCACCATAGCCAAAGCATGAAGATTACAAGTAAGAAAAATGAGAAACATGGTAACTCCAGCTCTAGAGCATAAAAAGGTAACATGTTACATTTGATATGGTAGTTTTTCCTGTTGTTGTTACATCTAAATTCAACTTCGATATATGTACATGTGCAGGTCAAGAAACGGCTCCAATCAACCCGAGCCAATTTCCACCGAGTTTCATTCTCCAACAAAGGAGAAGGCTAAAAGGACCCAGAAACAATTTGCTTCAAACCTGAAAAAAAAATTCCTATGCTGCCACTTGACAGCCTTGCAATGGGCACCAGAAACAAAACAGCTAAGCTTGCTAATCCTGCAAATAGCACAAGAAGCAAGAGAAGGTTGAGCCTGTGATTTTCTATGTAGCTGTGCTTGGCAATGTGTAAGGCATATGCTCTATGAACTATAATGTAGTGCAACTGATATGTGTATGATAAACCTGCTATTCTGTAGTGTGAACTTAGACCTCCTGTGTATGAACCTTCATGTGTTTATGTTTATGAACCTAGTAATGTATACATATTTATGAACCTGGACATGTGAACTTAGACCCCTATTATATGGATTTGTTGAGCTAATGTGAGGTGTGCAAGGTGTTTATATTTTTTTTTGTTTTTTAAGTATGCTGATAATGTGGTCCGATTTGTGAAGCTTGTGTATCAAATTTATTGATTATTATTGTTACTTTTCAATTATCAAAATGATATGTTTCATTTACAAGTATATTTGTGATATTTGTGCTTTCCTTATTTGATATTATGTCTATTTATTATTTTTCTATCTGGCACTAAATGTTGCTGATATATAGAAGGGCATATATGTCATTTTAGGTGATACTTGACACCGTTACTGTATCAAATGGACGGAAGTGTCATATATGGAAGAAATTTTTAAGTTGATGTAGATAAGAAAGTTTAAAATTTCCAGTACCAAATACGGAAGAATGATTTGTTTCAGTGCCGAATACATAATTTTCTCAAAATTAAATTGGATTCGGAGCACAAAAGGTTCCCTGTCGACGGGCGACGGGCCAACCACCACCACTCCTTGTCTTCCTCCGTGTGTCCGTCAAAGTGCTGCCCGCTTCTCCAACACGAGTGCTGGCCGGACATTACAGGACAGGCATGGGCTGAGAATGGAGACGCGCAACTCTCAGCGGTCTCACCTCTGAGCTCTGAAACCATTCAAGTATATGGCCAAACGGAAAGATAGAAGTAGAGTAGGTGGCGAGTGGCATGATTGCCGGCGCCGAATGCAGTGCCCGCTCTTATCACATCTACAGTTTTTATTTTTTTTCCTGTGCATATCATATACATGCCCGTTAATTAGAGCAGGTTTGGCAGGGCTCTGGTTACTTTGAAAATGGTTCCGACTTTGGCTCCTCTGAAGGAGCGGCTCCTCTGGAGGAGCTAAAGCCGTTCTGAAAAATGTTTGGCAAAACGAATTCTTCGCACTAGACGACGTGAACCCACAGCAAGGAGCCACGCGAAGCTCGTTTTTTAGGCTTCTTCTGCGTAGGCAAAAAATAGCTCCGGTTCTTGACCGACTCTCCATGCGAAGCCATTTCCAAAACAAACATTTGGCACAGCTCATGCAGGAGCCGGAGCTGAAGCCCTGCCAAAGAGGCTCTCAGTCATATACATATATGACCTGATCGAGTGACGCCGCTGTACTTACGCACGTTTGAAGTTTACTGTGTCTCCCACGAACCAGAGGCCAACAACTGTTGTTTCCATGTTGACGATGAGCGCTGCTGGCCAAGTAAAGAATCTCACACACCCGACCACAGTATAGTGTCCACGTATAGTTCACGCACGAATATAGTTTGGTGGAAAGAGAGAACAGAGTGTGAGACGGTTCCAGTCAATTCAAGACAGGGAAACCAAAGCAAAGGAACCTTGAAAACGGATACATCCAGAACAGAAACCAAGCCACGAATTGCGATTACTATAACAAAACCAAAACCAGTCTTACATACAGGCAGCTAAGTGGTGAGTATATCATCCCCAAACTCTATAGGCTGCAGCTAATAGCCAGCATCCCCTAATTAATAATAACATATGTACATGGAATCATCGATTGATCAACCAGCAACCAGTACAAGCGCATACGTGCGCGCGTGGAATTGAACCAACCAAGCACGCAAAGGAAAAAGCATGAGATCTGATCGATCGAGCACGCTGCATAAAGGTATAGAAGACCACGTGTGGGAACTGATGCATGGATCGGAGGCAGAATTGTGTATTCATCGATCACGGCCTCCACATGTCCTGGATGGTGGAGTGGAAGCTGGCGAGCACGAGGAGGAGCAGGACGACCATGGCGACGCCCCAGGGTGAGCTGCCCTCGGCGGGGGGCCGCTCGTAGCCCTTCCAGCGGCTCTCCCTGGGGTAGAAGCCGAAGTATCCCTCGAAGGAGTCGACGGAGGAGATCCAGCGGATGAGGAGGACGAGCGCGATGGGCACGGCCAGCAGCGCCCAGCTCAGCTGCTGCGACGCCTCCTCGATGAAGTCCTCGTAGGTGAAGAACCAGGAGACGCCCAGCAGGAGCGTCACCATGAGCAGGATCAGGATCACCGGGTACGGCAGCGGCGACAGCGTGAACGCCTCCACGATCGACGACTCCGCGCGCCGGTCGCCGTAGTACGACATGGCTGGCTGGCTTGGCTGGCGGTTGTTGCCTTGGACCTTGGTTGCTCTGGCCTCTGGGTTCGGTCGGCGCAGGGTCCTCCTCCTGCTGCTGCTTGTTTCGGGGAGCGTTGGGCGAAGGCAAGGGAAAGCGAGGCGAGGGAGAGGAGGGACGTGGGGGCGAACCGAGGGGATATAGGCGCGTGTAACCAACCACGATCGTGTCGTGTGCGCGGAGATGGATAGGTGCGTGTAACGACCCAAAGGCTCCTGCTGCTGACGTGTGCAGATCGTACGCAGGGACGGTGGAGGCAGAGGATCGGCCGCCCAGGCCTGCTGATTTGACACTTGACAGTCGGAAGCTCACACAACAAATACTACTCGTGTAGTATGATTGTGGAGGATTTGCACAAACATAAGCAGATCAGGTTATTATATTATATTATATTATATTATATTATATTATATTATATTATATTATATTATATTATATTATATTATATTATATTATATTATATTATATTATATTATATTATATTATATTATATTATATTATATTATATTATATTATATCGGTCAGTCGGTGCGCGACGTCTGGCACGGCGTACGCGTGGAGACCGGCAGCGCGGTCCTCTGCTCTCCCTTCTTTCCGGGGAGAGCAAAATCCGTGTAGCGGAAGATTACGTGCGATTGCGTGCTGATATGCTTCCTTCCTTGAATTGCCTAATTGGAGTGGACCGTAAGTCTCTGGATTCCTGATCGGTCTTGGATTTGGATGCCCTATGCTCCGGCAGTTTCCATGTATGAACTGAAGTGATCCACACATATCAATGTGGACGTCTGTGGTCCCTAGATCTAGAGGTATTACTAGTACAAATCGTTCTGTCTGATTTGTGATGGACCTTTCGTGTCTAGTCAAGCCTCAACAAAGACGCTTTCCAATATCTGGATCACAAAACTCGTCACCAGGATTATAGCGAAACTGAAGCGCCGGATCCTCTGCAGTTGTAGTTGCGTACGGTACCAAATTTGCATGTAGTCGAACAGATACTCGCCCTGATCGCTTGTAATTTTTTTTTCATGAAACAGTGTTTTCCTCTCGTAATATTTCAGCATAAGTATCAGCATAAGCCAAATTTCAGCATCAGCGAATAGGGTGACTTTATATAGGCAACCAAATATATGCCCGTGCATTGCACGGAACAACGCATTTGTATCCATTTGTACAACGATGCACATGTCTTATGATTTAGACAAACATATTAACATTTTTTTATCCATGTCTACGACAATGCACGTGGCTTGTGTTTAGATGACATATTAAGAAATATAAAAAAATTGATTTCATAAAGCATATTTCACGATCTTTATGACATATATCATGTAGATCGGAAACCTAACAAATTGGTTTCATTTTTAATTATCATTTCTGTGCTTTGTTATTATACATTTTCAAAATTTAATAGAATCTAATAAACACTTTTGCATTGGAACCCTAAACTATTTCTAAATTTATCCCGATTTTCCTTCTTATGTGGATGTGGTAGACCAATGGACCAAGTTGTTACGTGCGGGCATAAGGTGAATCACCACGCAACGGAGTCGTCTGTTACGTGCAGGCAGGAGGTATGTCCGTTCGGCCCACGGGCCACGGCACGTCGTTCCTTCGTTCCTGCTTTCGCACGAGTGCGAGCGGGTTGCAGACGTGAGGCCGCACACGCACGAGGCGAGCGGGATACTGAGCTACAGACGCACGGGCACACGCGCACGGGCGGGCGAGCGAGGCGAGCGTTGGCAGGTGCCAGCACGTCACAGTGCACGGCGAGCGCTGTGGCCGCCGCTAGCACATACTGCAGCAACGTGCCACCCGCATCCATGGCGAGACGCGCGCTCCCGCGTATGTCGGGACTACGCACGACAACAGCCAGCAGGTCGCAGGCTTCCGCCGCCGCCGACGCAGGCTGTAGCTAGGGCGCACGCGCAGGCATGTTTTTTCTTTACGAGGACGTGGGGCTTGACGGGCGGGGCGACGTGGGAGCGTGCGGGATTCATGTACTGAACTCGCCATTATAAGCGGGGGCGGAGCAAATTAACTTGGCATCCTGATAATGTGGACTCTCGGATGCGGACCCACGCGGGCGGAGCGATGCCGGAGCGTGCGGATTAAGCTGGGCGAAGCGAAATAACTTGACGTCCGACGATGACATTGTGAAATTTTTAGGTGTAGTGATGAATATGTGCATGATCTGTTTCGTCGTTGTTAGCAAAGATTTTATGTGTATGAATATGAATATGTGCATGATTTTTTTTGTTGTAGTAAGTAAAGCTCTTGCCGAATTCCTCTATTTGAATATGTGTCTGATCTGTTTTATCGGCCTATAATCAGTTTTTATATGATTTTCGATGTGAAAGAATTTGTTTTGAAAACTTTTTTTTTGTCATATGTGATTTTCGATGTGAAAGAGTTTGTTTTAGAAACAGTTTTTATTTTGCCGTATATGTTTCTTTCATAAGCTTTTTTTTTTGCCGTATAGGATATTTTTGGGAAATGGGGCCGTTGTTTTTTTCTTTATTTTTGTATAGGATTTTTTTTTGATAACGGGGACGTTGTTTTTTTACAGTGTTTTTTTGCCGTATAAGTTTTTATTTCGGAAACGTTTTTCTAGCCGTATAATAGAAATTAGAACGTTTTTTTTTTCACCCTAAAGGCCGGGTGCCGGGGGACAAACGATAGCATTAGAAATATTTTAGGTGCAGAGATTGACTGACAGTTGCTCCCTTGGATTGTGTTCGAGGGCTTCTGATCCACTGACCGTCGGAAGGGCCCATAAAGGTCGTTTCTATATGGGCCGGTTCGCCGAACCGCATATCTTTATGTTCCTGATGACGGACTAGCGCTGCCTCAGTATTTCGTCCCGGTAGGCAATAGCAGCAGCCAGGAGCAGCAGAAAAACGAAGCGAACCCTCGCCGCGCGAGTTGGTGATGGCCGGAGAGGACGCCGCCGCCGCCAGTCCTGCAGCCGTAAAGAAGCCCCCGAAGGAGGAGGAGGAAGATGACGACGAATTGGACAACGTTCCACTGGCAATTTCTAGGGCCAAGAAATCGGGTAATGCGAGCGCCTCTAAGGTCAAGAAGGAGGACGACGACGACGAAGACAACATGCCGATTTCGCGTTCCCGGGGAAAGAAGGTTTGTTTGCATCTACCCCAGATCTCTGTTTTCTGGCCTGTGGCGTGGCGGGCGTCGTGGTGCGAGCGACGCTAGGTCTTGAGGGATTTATTTATTTGGATAATATTTTTGCTAGGTTACCATTTTCTTTTAGCGCAATGCTAGGTTACCTTCAGTTAGCTCATTTTATCAACTTTATTTGTGGATGTTGTAGATTTGTAAACGCAGAGGCGAAGCTTTGCCGTCGCCCGTCGGTCGGATATGCCCCGGCCTCCAGGCCAATGTTGGGATAACCTGGGACTTTCTGTATCTCAGGGATTTTTATCGGAATTTTTGGGATTTAGTTCAAAAATTGAGGGTTGTTAACTTTGATTTAGCGTCTTCACTGTTGCCCTAACATGAGCACATGACATGATGTAGCCCTAGATTACTGAACCGTGGTACTCTTTCTTGTGTCTTCTAAAGAAGCTAACATTGTCCTATTTTGTAGGAAAACGAGAAGCAGAAAGGCACCACGATTAGCAATATGAAGGCTTCGAAAGTTAAGAAAGAAGAAACTGATTCTGATGATGATGGTGATTTCACGGTTGCAATTTTCACGCCCTATTGTTCTCAGCTACATTTCTCTAGCTTCTTGTTTTGAGGTTAACAATTATGCACCTTTCAGCCAATATCACAGAAGAAAAGTGCAGGTGCTGCTGGAAGTAATGCCAAGACATCCAAGGTTAAGAAATTAAAAGATGAAGATTTGGAAGATCTCAAGGTATGCAATCTACTTGGGCTGATATTCTGTTGTTATAAATTTACTTATTGTCTTGTGACTTGGTGAAGGAGGTTAAGAAAAGGAAGAAACGAGTGGGTGCCAAAGAAGAGGCAAACATGGCCATTGTAAAGGCAGAGAAGGTGAAGAAAGAGAGGAAAGTGTATGAATTGCCAGGGCAGAAGCATGATCCTCCTGCAGAAGTATGACCATTCTAACCTTCTCCAATCTGATATGCATCTGCAAAACAAACTAATTTTCTTTTTGCTGCAGAGGGATCCATTGAAGATATTCTATGAATCACTCTACGAGCAGGTCCCCACCAGTGACATGGCTGCTACCTGGTGAGATACTAAATATTTATAAGCTTGTAAAGATTTGTGTTACAAGCCAACTAGATGTAGCTGTAGTGTGGCCCATATCTTGTTGGATCAGTACAGACCAATCTGGTCCTGAGAACCAATGGTATAAAATGTCATATATTTGATAAATCATTGCCAAAGCTTGCATAACTTTTGGAGATCTATTCGTCTTCACAAAGTGTTTGTCAAGCATAATCACAGTGGTGACGCCCATCATTATGGCAACAATGGTCACATTCTGTAACTGTGTAAACAACAGTACAAACAAGAATTTTTCTAGGATTTTGTAACTCGTTATTACAGTCTGTGTTAATAATATGATGTAGCAGGAAACATAGTATTCTGCACATCCTGTTTGGTTGATGCCTAAGGGTACCACAAGTCCACAACTATAGCTTAGGTAACTAAGGCAACCTTTTCTGGCTAGAAAAAAGAGTCTATGACGTGTGGGACCGGGTGCTTAGAAAGTGTGGCACGCCACGTGCGTCTGAACCATACAGCTGCCTAAGACACTATGGCATGATTAAGATGTAGCGTAGCAAACTTAGGCATGTATTTGCGGAGCTCTAATTCTGAACATGTAAACCTGCACGCAAAGGCCAATCTGATTGTGATTCTCACGAAATGGGTCCTTTGTTGTTTAATAAAGAAATGAACCATGCCTTTTTGTGCTTCCACGATGTTGTGAATTAATATTTAGCATTATGTTTGGTTGATGTTAGATTAGTTGAAA